GATTATTTCTTGCTGAAAAAAAGAAATAATTTTGACTCATCGTGTTGGTGACAATGACAGTGGTTGGTAACAATGACCGCGATTTTAACCTAAAAGCCCACTTTTTCGTTCCCTCGCTCGACGTTCGCCAAACTCGTGTTTTTCTATGGCTCATACGAAATGCATGAACACGGAAACCATACTCTCCCCGAAGCCAAAAACATATAAATTTACCCAATTATATCCAACAGTATTCGTCAAGCATAGGCTGAGCTTGAAAAAATTGAATAAAATCTACACTGAAAGGTGTACACACCGTAAAATGCACGTTAATCTTTCTCCTGTAGGTATAGAATCTCGGCTTTTACAGTTTTTAGTAATATGAGGTCCAACTTGAATTGATAACTTTTATAATAAAATATCGAATAATTCTTGCGACATTCTCATGTAATTGAAATGTTTTTCTCGATCTTGAAGACGCATTTCTTGAATAAATTATAATACGCTACTTGTTCCGGTCTTCGTTGGAGAAGCTCTCTATGATGTGTTGTGTAATAACACTACGTTGAATTTACATAACCTATAAAATCCCTCCGAATTTCCAAATAATCGGAAAAAGTTGGAATAATTTCAACTTCTTCCGACACCTGTCAAATCTTCCGATTATTCGGAATTTTTTTCCGGAAATTCGCTTATGAGAACTATGCTTAACTCGGGCAATTACCTTCATAGGCGATTTCGGTCCCACTCATGATAAGGTCGCTGGCATTTTGGGCAATTTGGTCCAGAAGATTGTCCTTTAAGTCGACCAACTTCAAGTGCGACACGTTCTTAAGGTGCGGCCACGGCAACTCTGTCAGCTCGTTACCGGCCAGTAGCAGGCTGGATATGTTGGGAGGTAGCCGGAAGAAGTCCGGATCGCTTGTCAGGTCGTGCAGCTTATTGTAGGAGAGATCCAAAAGCTTGGCACTAGTCAGGTTGCCAATCACGCCTAAGAAACAGGCCGTTGACAATGTCGGCTGAACTCAATCAAAGTCCATAAACTTACCTTTCCTCACGTCTGCAATCGCGTTATGGCTCATATTGAGTTTTTCCAATTTCGACGTCCCAAAGGTCAAGTCGTAGGTGATGACCGGAATAAAGTTATAGGACAAATCAATCTGTTTCAGCTTATAGGGGATGTAGGGATTGCTGGGGAACATCTTTCTCGTTATGAACGTGATTCGGTTATGGCTAAGGTTCAACTGCAAACGAGAAGAGCAACCGATACCATCAATTTCCGTGCAAAATATGCGAAATGTTGGGGCTGAGCAATTTCTTGAATTTCCCCTGTTCACCACTAACTCTCCCCTAGGTTATATAGTCTAACGCAAATTGTAGACATGGATTTTTTGCGCCCTAAAAGCAATTTCGAGGCCTCGCAGGTTGCCACCGAAGACAAAGAAAAGCCCTGATGGGGACACTTATGGCTTTATTAACTGGCGAATGGTTTATATACAGGGTTCATTCACGCTATACGGCACGGAAGTTTGCGGCTAAACCGTTTGATTTTTAAAAAGTATTTATTTATGAATTGTCCGACGCCTACCGAGCGCACATTTTAAAAATATTTTTGTAATGTACAGGGTGTCCCAAGACCTCTAAAGGTATCAAAGTTGCGTTTTTTTAAATGGAATGTCCTATATATTATTGCATTTTTGGATTCGCTGAACAAAATAAGTGTTTGTTTTAATAAGGTTTATAATACCTAAACCTTCAGCTTTTTTAAATAATACGAATTTAATCAAAATCTAATCTAATTTTCACGTGTCAAATACTTTAGAAGTACTTAAGTTATGTAAGCGTAATTTATAGTGAAGTGTAACAAGATATACTATTTTATATCTCAATGATAATAAACTTACCATGTTATACAGGGTAAGTTTGTACACACTCTTGATTAATTTAAATACAACCCCATATTTTTTAACTTACCAGGAAATGCAATTTTTAATTACCTATCGAATGGTATTAGGATATTAATAGCCAAGTTTTTGCTTTTTTACAAAATACGTCAAATAGTCGTTCTGTGCACCATTTGGTGGTGTTTAATTTAAGGTTCCAATGTAACTAAGTTGGCTATGCCATTTACACATGTCAAATCATTTATTTTATTTGTCAGTTTAGACTGCAAAATCTCTTTTTGATAGCTAGAGTGGTATTGTTTCTTGTAATTGCAGACGTGTTGGTCGCTATTTTCATATTATTATTGTGTTGCTAAGTTAAAATGAAGAATTATCCAAGAGAAGAGCGTATTGACATGATTTTTAGCCTTGGAGAATTTCATAAAAATTGTTTATTGACTTCTCGAGTTTATGCTCAAAAGTTTCCTGAAGAAAATGATCCTAAGCCAACAGTTTTTAAGCGCTTTTTTTGACCAATTTGAGGAAACTGGGAGTGTCAATTATAAAAAACCCATTACAAGGAAATCTGTCACTGAAGATGAAGAAAATGTTTTCACGATAATTGGTTCAGTTATCGAAAATCCCAATGTTAGTCAAAATCTAATATCCAA